TCTAAATTCAACAATAAATGTGTTTTATTTTTTCAGTTCGGAACATGAACCGTTCGTTCCGGTTCACGATTTTAATAAACTCTAAATATCGAATTTCGATTCTAAATTGTAATTGAAATATTTCGGTTTGGTTGTTATAGTGTTTGTTTAGTTTGAACCAAATTATGGTCATAATTTGTTGGAGAAAAAAATAAATTAAATATTTAGTTTAAGGGTAAATATGTCCATTTAACATTTCAGGGGGAAAAACAGCCACTTTAATAATTTAGGGGGGAAAAATGCTATAGGTATATAACTCAGGGGGAAAAAGTGTCATTTTCCCAATAATCATAATTGTAATTACAATTAATTAATTAATTGTATGAATCTTTTTATTTTTTTGAATTTATTAATTAATTGTATTAATGTATTTTATTTTATTTTAAATTTATTTGATAGACAGAATCATGAAATTTTTGAACCACTTCTACATCATCATCTTTTGCAGCATTGGCATCAACTTGTGAGAAGAAGAAGAAAAAAAAAATTTTACTACAATTAATTCCCTAATTTAGCAAAGTAATAATTCCTTAATTATACTAAAATATATTTAATTAATTCCTTAATTTTGGAAAATAGTAATATCTTTATAATGTAATGTATAATTATTAGCTTAATTAGAATAATAATTATTAGTGGGTTAATATGAAGTCTGGACCATTATTACAATTAATTCCTTAATTTTTTATTTTCTTAATTAGAATAATCATAATTGTAATTACAATTAATTAATTGTATTAATTTATTTTATTTTATTTTAAATTTATTTTCTAGACAATATCATGAAATTTTTGAACCACTTTATCATCATGGTCCTTTGCAGCATTTACATCAACTTGTGAGAAGAAAAAAAAAATTACTACAATTAATTCCCTAATTTTAGCAAAGTAATAATTCCTTAATTATACTAAAATATATTTAATTAATTCCTTAATTTTGAAAAGTAGTAATATCTTTATAATGTAATGTATAATTATTAGCTTAATTAGTATAATAATTATTAGTGTGTTAATATGAAGTATGGACTATTATTACAATTAATTCCTTAATTTTTTATTTTCCTAATTAGAATAATCATAATTGTAATTGAAATTAATTAATTAATTGTTTGAATCTTTTTATTTTTTGAATTTATTAATTAATTGTATTAATTTATTTTATTTTATTTTAAATTTATTTGCTAGAGAGTATCATGAAATTTTTGAACCACTTCATCATCATCATTCTCTGCAGCATTGGCATCAACGTGTGAGAAGAAAAAAAAACTTTACTACAATTAAGTCTCTAATTTTAGCAAAGTAATAATTCCTTAGTTATACTAATTAATTCTTTAATTTTGGAAAATAGTAATATCTTTATAATGTAATGTATAATTATTAGCTTAATTAGAATAATAATTATTAGTATGTTAATATGAAGTCTGGACCATTATTACAATTAATTCCTTATTTTTTTATTTTCTTAATTAGAATAATTATAATTGTAATTACAATTAATTAATTAATTGTATGAATCTTTTTAATTTTTTGAATTTATTAATTAATTGTATTAATTTATTTTATTTTATTTTAAATTTATTTGCTAGACAATATAATGAAATTTTTGAATCACTTCATAATCATTGTCCTCTGCAACATTGGCATAACTTGTGAGAAGAAAAAAAAAACTTTACTACAATTAATTTCCTAATTTTAGCAAAGTAATAATTCCTTAATTATACTAAAATATATTTAACTAATTCCTTAATTTTGAAAAATAGTAATATCTTTATAATGTAATGTGTAATTATTAGCTTAATTAGAATAATAATTATTAGTGTGTTAATTTGAAGTCTGGACCATTATTACAATTAATTCTTTAATTTTTTTATTTTCTTAATTAGAATAATCATAATTGTAATTACAATTAATTAATTAATTGTATCAATCTTTTTATTTTTTTGAATTTATTAATTAATTAATTGTATTAATTTATTTTATTTTATTTTAAATTTATTTGCTAGACAGTATCATGAAATTTTTAAATCACTTCATCGTCATCGTCCTCTACAGCATTGTCATCAACTTGTGAGAAGAAAAAAAAAATTACTAAAATTAATTCCCTAATTTTAGCAAAGTAATAATTCCTTAATTATACTAAAATATATTTAATTAATTTCTTAATTTTTAAAATAGTAATATCTCTATAATGTAATGTATAATTATTAGCTTAATTAAACTAATAATAATTATTAGTTTGTTAATATGAAGTCTGGACCATTATTATAATTAATTCCTTAATTTTTTATTTTCTTAATTAGAATAATCATAATTGTAATTACAATTAATTAATTAATTGTATGAATCTTTTTATTTTTTTAATTTATTAATTAATTGTTTTAATTTATTTTATTTTATTTTAAATTTATTTGCTAGAAAGTATCATAGAAATTTTTGAACCACTTCATCATCATCATCCTTTGCAGCAGGCATCAACTTGTGAGAAGAGGAGGTCATCACCCAAATTCGGATTTCTTGAGCAAGATGGTATGATTAAACATTGTTAAACATAACAAATTTGATCTTTTTTTTTTTTTTTCTATATCTGCACTAAATATTCGAAACTCACAAATCACAATCAAGATGCTTCAAAAAGGTGAAAACCATTTCCAAAAAAAAAAAAAAAAGTGAAAACCAAAATTTTATCAAATTATAAGGCAAGAGTGGATCTTGTACGTCATCTATGGAGCATCGATGATGCCCATGGCCTTGATAGAGATCCCCATGTCATGATGGACTTGCTTCAGCATGCACCTTGAAGATGTAGATCTTGTATGTCTCCAACGACTTCTTCACCCTCTTCTTCACAATGCAATTTACAGCTATATTGATTATGAATGAATCTGTGTATTTTACGTATACAAAATAAAGGAGTATCAGAAGATGATTGTGATGTTACCTTTTCAGAACTTGGATCCGGAATCCAAATGCAATGACGTCTTTCATTGGAATAAACTGAGGAAATACATACAATATCAAAAGAAGAAATGAAGAAAAAAGAAGGAAGAATTAAGATGGAGATTTTTTGTAAATTTTTTACTTTGTACATTTTTTACCAAAAATTCCACTCTTTGGAAGCGCCTCCCACCACCTACAACACCAAGAAGACGATGATATATATATATATATATATATATATATATATATATATATATATATATATATATCACAAATTGCAAAATCCTCCTTCTAATAATATGGCAAAATAGGGGATATTGCATAAAGTAGCATAATATAGAATAACTAATTAGAATAATATTATTATGGTAATACATGAAATTATGGTCATTATATATAAATAATTAATTAGAATAATATTATTATGGTAACACACGAAATTATGGTCATTATATATTAACTCCAATTACTCCAATAATAGGTAGTTAGCATATATATAGGTATTACCGTGTATATAAAATATAGGTATTATTGAGTTATTAAATAATATATATGAATAATATATAATTTTTATAATTAATTAAATTTGAATATTACACAAATGTTCCTAAGTTTTTTTTTTTTTTTTTTTTTTTTTGGGGGGGGGGGGGGGGGCTAGGGGGATCTTTAGGTGGAGTGTTTTTAGTCTTTGTATTTTTTTCCTTCCTTTAGTTGTTTATTTTGTTTTGGGTGATTGCATGTTTGTAGTGGGCTTAAATATGGTAATTAAGATTTTTTGATTCCCTGAGTTATTTACCGTGTCTCTTTATATTGTTGGCCTAGTTCACTGGTTTCAGTTGTGTTGCATTGTGTTTTGTCAGACACTACTGTTTCTTCGTTATCTATGTGTTTTTTTTCGCGGTTGGGGCTATGGATTCTCCAGGTGTGTATTTTCGTTGTCTCCAATATATATTCATTGTGCATCGTTAATTGGTGTTTTGTGCATATTTTTATATTTTTGTATTAGATTTTTTGTTGGGTTGCTTTGGGTCTGCTGCGTCTTCAATTTTTTTTTATTCATCTGCAAGCGTGATTTTTTTTTTTTTTTTTTTGTGCATCTTTGTTTCTGATTTTTGTGCGTAGTTATGTATTTCTTTTTAAGATTTTCGTTGTGGGGGTTGTGGGTTGTTTTGGGTTTGGGGGTTCACATGCCTACACTAGTTATGTTTATTGTGTTGTAACCTACTGTTGATTCTTATTCTTTTTTTTTTTTTTTTTTTTTTTTTTTTTGGATAAGGGTCAAATAGGCCCTTCAACTATAGATCAAAGTGCAATTAGCCCCCTAAACTTAGAAAAGCTCCAATTAGGCACTTTAACTTCTCATTTGTATGCAATTAAGTTATTTAACAGGTTACCTCTAAGTAACCGGTCATTTTTTTTAATTTAAAAAATTAATTAAAAACATATTATTAATATAAAGTAATTAATTAAAAAAAGAACCTCTGGCAGCGGTGTCTTCACCGTCCCCTGTCACAATCGACATGGGATTAAAACCCATTTAACAGGATAATCAACAAGATAAAATGAAAAGCAAAAACCATTCTTTCTTCTTCTTCATCACCAGCATTTCCATTGTTCTTTCACTTCTTTCTTAGCTTTTCATAATCAGAACCCATTTAACAGGAGAATTAACAAGAAAAAATGAAAAGCAAAAACGAAAATTCTTTTTCTCAAGCATTTTTGTTGTTCTTTCTTAGCTTTTCATAATCAAAACCCAGGAAAATCAACAAGAAAAAATGAAAACCAAAAACCAAAATTATCAAATACCTCAGATAAGCATTGTGGCACATTTATCCTAGCAAACAACAACCTCCAAAATAGTGGAGCGCAATATTTGTTGTTGTCACTCATGCCTTTCTACTATCATCAGTGGTATTCGTATTCCTACATCTCTTTCCTTTCATTCCGGGATGAAAACCATGGAACAAGATAATCAACAAGAAAATCAAATGGGTTGCCTGAGTTATAGTTTCAGAACACGAAATCATGGCCATAGTCAATGTCCATCAGAAAAGAATCGCAGTCGGAAGAGGAGTTGTCGGAAAAGTTATTCTGCGCAGTCAGAATCTGTCAAATAGAGATGAGCTCCGCCACCTACGTGAACACGACGTTGTCTGCCAAAGTATTTCTCGCCGGCCAGTGGAAATATGTTTTTTAAATTTATTTTAAAATTATTTTTTATAAAAAAATTCAAATTTACCTGCTATTATCTTGAATTTACCTGCAAAATAAGTTAATTGTACAAATTTAATAAGTTATGGGCTAAATTGCATCAAAGTGAAGAGATGAAGTGTCTAATTGGAGCATTTCTTAGTTTAAGGGGCTAATTGCATTTTGACCTATAGTTGAAGGGTCTATTTGACCCTTATCCCTTTTTTTTTTTATGTATGTATTATTATGCTCTCTTTTTGCTCTGGGAAATTGTTTTTAATATACATATACGGTGGTGTGTGTTTCTTTCTTTGGGGTAAAAATGTTTTTCGTGTGTGTTGTTTATTTTTTTTCTTTTGATTTTGTCATTTTATCTTTTTGCCATTTTTTTGTTACTGGGTTGTTGCTATGAACAATTTTTTTAAATACGTGTACTGTGTTTGAAATTGGTTTTTATTTTTAAACATTCAGTTTCAGGGGGAGGGGGGGGGGGGGGGGTTGGCTTTAGTTCTTATTAAGGTTATTATCATTTTTGTTTTTGTTTTGTTTTTGTTTTGTTTTGTTTTGTTTTTTTGTTTTTTGTTTTTTGTTTTTTTTTTTTTTTTTTTGCATTTGGTGCTGTAGAGATTGTTTATGTAGTATGCATGTATGGGAGTTTTCAATGTGCAAACAGTGTTTTTTTTTTTTTTTTTGGGTTTGTTGTGCATTTTTGTTACATGTTTGTAGTCTTGTTTTGTACCTAGTTGGCTTTAATTTTTATTTAGGTTATTATTGTTTTTTTATTATTTGTTTGCATTTTGTGCTGTAGGTGTTGTTTATGCACTGTGCATGTATTGACGTTTTTATTGTGCACACAGTTTTTTTTTTTTTTTTTTTTTTGGGTATGTTGTGCATTTTTGTTGCATGTTTCTAGTCTTGTTTTGTATCTAGTTGGCTTTAGTTTTTATTTAGGTTATTATCATTTTATTTATTTATTTATTTATTTATTTATTTTTTTGCATTTGATGCTGTAGGGGTTGTTTACATAGTGTGCATGTATGAGCGGTTTCATTGTGCACACAGTTTGTTTTTTTTTCCCATTTTTTTGTTATGTTGTGTATTTTTTTTTTTTTTTTACATATTTTTTACCTAGTTTTTATGGTTGATGGTTATGCAGTTCAGTCGGGATCTCTAAAGGCTTGTGTTATGGACGTGTCTCCCGATGGGACTAAGTATTGGAATCCTTCGTGTGATGAGGCTATTAGGCATTTTGAGGGTCAGGTTTTCCCTTCTCTTGGTCATGGTATTGCTTTTTATAGGCATTATGCGTCTGTTGTTGGGTTTGACATACGCCATAGTTCGGTGCGTAAGGATAGGGACGGTGTTGTCGTAAAAAATCTGTTGGTTTGTTCCCGTGAGGGGTTCAAGCAGTCTGCTGATGTTTTGGGTGTTGGGAATGCTGACTCTGATGAAGCGCGTTTGGCTCAAAAGGGCCGTCGTGTTTCTAATAGGGTGGGCTGCAAAGCGAAGTTGTTACTCAAGAGTGTTGACAATGGTTTTTTTGTTGTTCATTTCATTGAACTCCGTCATAATCATTGTTTGTGCTCGGATGTTGCTAAGCCTTTTCTAAGGGGTAACCGTATGATGAGTTTTCAACAAGTTTTTGTTATTAATTGTGCAAGGGCAAACATTGGGCCTAATAGGTCGTTTCGGTTGTCTAGGGAGTTTGTTGGGTTATATTCTAATATTAGTGCAACATGTGTTGACTTTAAAAATTTTAAGCTTGATTTGATGGCATATATTGGTAATTCTGATGCTAATGTTGTTGTGAACAAGTATGTTAAGAAGGTTGGTGCTTGCCCGGACTATTTCTTTCAATATGATTTGAATTCTGAGGATCAGTTACGAAGGTTGTTTTTGGTTGACCCTGTTGCGAAGCAAAATTTTACAGCTTTTGGTGATATAGTGTCGTTTGATGCGACATATGAGACAAATAGGTATGCTTTGTATTTTTTTAACAAATATTTACGTAACTTTGTTTCAATTTTAATATGCTTTTAGTCTTTCTATTTTTGGTTTTTATTCGTCTACATGTTTTCTTTTTCTGTCGATGATGTTAAGCTTTTCATTTTTATTTTTTATTTTTTTACATGTATGGTATGGTATTCGTCCCCTTTACTAGTGTTGATAATCACAAAAAATGTGTGACATTTGCAATTGGCTTAATTTCTCACGAGGATGTGGACTCCTATGTTTGGCTCTTGGAACAGTTTAAGAGTGCAATGGGCCGTGTGCCTAGTTGCACTATCACTGATCAAGATCCATCGATGCGTATTGCGGTCCCCCGGGTGTTTGGTACTACTCACCACAGGTTTTGTATGTGGCATATAATGTCAAAGGTTAGAAGGTCGGTAATGTTTTAGCTAAAGACAAGGAGTTTCGATCTGCTTTGAATGATGTTGTTTTGAATGAGATGTTGTCTGTGGATGAGTTTGAGCACGGGTGGCTTGAGGTAATGGAAAAGTATAAATAAATAAATGATAATAACCTAAATAAAAACTAAAGCCAACTAGCTACAAAACAAGACTAGAAACATGTAACAAAAATGCACAACATACCAAAAAAAAAAAAAAAAAAAAAAAAAAAAAAAAAAATTGTATGCATAATGAAAACGCCAATACATGCACAGTGCCTAAACAACACCTACAGCACCAAATGCAAAAAAAAAAATAATAATAATAATAATAAAAAAAATGATAGTAACCTAAATAAAAACTAAAGCCAACTAGGTACAAAACAAGACTACAAACATGTAACAAAAATGCACAACAAACTAAAATTAAAAAAAAAAAAAAAAAAAAAAAAAACATTGTGTGCACATTGAAAACTCACATACATGCATACTACGTAAACAACCCCTACAGCACCCAAAAAAAAAAAAAAAACGATAATAACCTAAATAAAAACTAAAGCCAACTAGGTACAAAACAAGACTACAAACATGTAACAAAAATGCACAACAAACCCAAAAAAAAAAAAAAAAAAAAAAAAAAAAAAAAAAAAAACCATAATAACCTAAAGGGAAAATGACACTTTTTCCCCCTGAGTTATATACCTATAGCATTTTTCCCCCTAAATTATTGAAGTGGTTGTTTTTCCCCCTGAAATGTTAAATGGACATATTTACCCTTAAACTAAGTATTTAATTTATTTTTTTCTCCAACAAATTATGACCATAATTTGGTTCAAACTAAACAAACACTATAGCAACCAAACCGAAATATTCCGATTACAATTTAGAATCGAAATTCGATATTTAGAGTTTATTAAAATCGTGAACCAGAACGGACGGTTCATGTTCCGAACTGAAAAAATAAAATACATTTATTGTTGAATTTAGACTATTTTAAAATAAAAATAAAATTTTAAAATAAAGACGGTTCAAAATCGCGAATCAGATCCGGAACCGCCGGTTCACGGTTCAAGATTCAATTTTTTTGATACATAATTTTAATAAATCGACATTTAAATATTGGGTTCTAGATCTAAATTGTAACCGTAAACTATTAATTCGATTACTTTAGTATCCGGTTCAATTCAAACCGAACCGTGGTCATCCCTACGTATACGCAATAATTTGTTGGAGTAGTAAAATAAATAAAATGTTTACTTTAAGGGTATAAATGTCAATTTAATATATTAGGGGGAAAAAGCACCACTTTCAGAATAATTGAGGGGGCTAATATGCTTACCTAAATAATTGAGGGGGGGGGGGGGGGAGGGGGGCGGAGGAAAGTGCTATAAGTATATAACTCAGGGGTAAAAAGTGTCATTTTCCCTAACCTAAATAAAAACTAAAGCCAACACCCCCCCCCCCCCCAAAAAAAACTGAATGTTTAAAAATAAAAATCAATATCAAACACAGTATACGTATTTAAAAAAAAAAATGCAAATGAATACTAATAACCAACAAAATTGTTCAAAGCAACAACTCAGTAACAAAAAATTGCAAAAAGATAAAATGACAAAATCAAAAGAAAAAAATAATAAACAACACACACGAAAAAACATTTTTACCCCAAAGAAAGAAACACACACCACCGTATATGTATATTAAAAAACAATTTCCCATAGCAAAAAGAGAGCATAATAATAATACATACATAAAAAAAAAAAAAAAAAAAAAAAAGAATAAAAATCAGCAGTAGGTTACAACACAATCAACTTAACTAGTGCAGGCATGTGAACCCCCAAACCCACAACCCCCACAACAAAAATCTTAAAAAGAAATACATAACTACGCACAAAAATCAGAAACAACGATGCACACAAAAAAAAAAAAAAAATCACGCTTGCAGATGAATAAAAAAAATTGAAGACGCAGCAGACCCATAGAGAAATTGGAGTGATTCCATAAAATCTAGAGAGTGCATGTTTCACGATCAAGAGGTATTGTTTTTCAATTTTACTTTTGTCTACGATTCCAATGTTTATCCTTGCCCAGGATATTTCTCTACTTTCAAAGCTATTACATGGTGATTATCTGATTGGTGTGCACCTATATGAAGTCTCATAGAGAAAGGGGAGTGATTCCATAAAATCTAGAGAGTGCATATTTCACGATCAAATGGTATTTTTTTTCGATTATACTTTTTTCTAGAACTCGTGTTGTATATGAAATTGGAAAAAAGATGCATTTCAAAGCTACTTCCTATACTGCAATAATAAATTACAAAATAACACTTTTATTTTTTACTCCATTGTAGGGAACTTCATGCTCATATACCAAGGGAGCATGTTGGTAAGTACTATAAGCTTTTCAAAGAATGAAAAGTTTATGTTGTTAAAAATTTTATGGTGATAAGTAATTTCTATATTTACAAAAAATGCACTCATTATTTTATGTTGTAATTCAACTATGCTACTTTGGTTAAAGAATAAAAAAAATGACAACTTTTCTAGACAAATTAATTTATTGAAATCATTTTCATCTTTGAAGTCGGTAGATGATAAACAATTCGTTGGTAAGTTTCATTTACAATTTTAATCTACATCTGAATTCTTTTTTTTTTTTTTATTAACATGTTTGACGTTATTGGTAGGGTCGTTGAGATATACTCCCCATTGGATAAGATCATTGCAAGGAAGTCTTCTTAACTTATTAATTTTCTAATTGTACGTGGATACAAAGTAAATTATCTAATTTTGTTATTTTTATTGTATTTTGTATATGTATTTTTTATTAAGTAGTTTATTTGTTTATAGGGACAATCAATTGAAGGCTACAGTGTGAAATCAACATATACTAAGAGTTGAAACCTTTTTTTTTTAATTATGGCCTTGCAAATCCTGTGGTTGTTCTTATGCAATTGTGTAGAGTTAAGAATGATACAAAGAGTTAATATAAACACAAGTGTTTTAATTTTTCTTTATATTTGAAAGTGTTTGAATAAGGACAAGTAATGAATGTTCTTTTTTATTAACCGGTTATGTCAAGATATGTAACTCTTCGATACACAGCTCCTTTTCAATCAGGATTTTCAGAGTTTTGTGATTTTCTAGAAATTAAGGTAAATTTATTATGTCTTAATAATCATTATCATAATGTTTTTATCATTTATTTTTGTACATATTTTGTTTATGATTGTCAATTTTTTTTCAGTTTATGTGTTGATTAGACTCATCTAAGAAACATTATTGATATTTATGAGATGATTGAGGTAAGCAGTAGCAATAAAACTTTTTTTTTTTTTAAATTGATGCAGTGACATCAAATTTTCTAATCATCTTTTGCCACTTTTTAAAATGATTTATTAGTATAAATTGTCATACTTTAAAATGTATTTTTGTAATGTTAATAAATAAATTAGCTTAAAATAATACATTAAAATCTAAAGAATAAGCAAAGTATAATCTAAAGTATAAAATAAAGTCAAAGTTGTACATGTTTGCAAAGTGATGGAGCATTGTAATAGTCGCAGTGCATCCAAATAAAGACATCATTTAACTGATTATTTCTTTCTTATCTCACATTAAAGGTTCAATACTACAGATATATATAAAGTATTAGTAATAACATTGGTACTGTTAAATGTGTATATAACTAATTATTTATTGATTTAGGATCAAAGAGTGCCCTATATGATCCTAGAGCTCAAATTTTACTTCCAGATATATTATAAATAATCAACCTACATCAGTACTATCGTATCTTCATATGAACAAAACTCATCATCCTTGAAGTGGTGAAAACAATTAAGAGCCCCTCACTACGATTTTCCTCTCTGTAATCCCAGTTTCTTTCGTATAACTTAAAAAATAAATGCTTCACATATAATAGTAAATGGAATTATAATATAGTAGAAAATAGGAATTAATATTATTGATAAAGTATATATTAGTTGAAATTGTACTTATATTTAGTAAATATTTTTTTACACTTCTAGAAGATTCTTTTGAGCCTTCAACAGTGTGCATGTGTACATACAGAACTATAAACTGCCATTTTTAGATTGAATTTATCTTTAATGTGTAACTGTATTTTCACCAACTAATTTAATAAAGCTTATTCTGTAAGCAAATGTAAAATGGATATTAACTAAAATCTTGGTAATATTGTTTCCATATTCACGTATTAACGTAATAACATAATACCATATAGAAAAGATATATTAGTTATATTCTATAATATAATAATATTTTTGGTAACATTATTGTTTGCAAATTCTCCATATTTTTTTTTACGTATTTATAATACCATGCAGAAAAGACATTAATTAATTAGGTATTAACATAATAGAATAATTGGTAATATTATGTATGGTATTACCATGTAGAATTTTTGGATGTTTATCACCAACTAATTTAATACAACTTATTTTGTAAGCAAATGTAAAATAGAAATTAACTAAAATCTTGATAATATTGTTTCCATATTCAATGCTCTCACGTACTAACATAATACCATATATAACCAATTTAAACAATTTATAATATAACCAATTCATATATATATGCTACAACCCCACGGTCAAATATATACTATAATTAAAAATAAAATTCTAAATTTACTTGATTTCATGTCCAAACAATAGTAAATAGTAAAGGTAAATTAAAAAAAGAATGAAAAATAAAAGGAACATAAATATTTCACAATAATATTCTACATCATCAATTAAAAAATGAAATGAAAATTAGGTAAATTGGAAAAGGAAATTGTTGGTCCCGATAGGGTGGTAAAAAGTTTAGAGGGGGGGGGGGGGGTGAATGTAGACTTTTTAAACTTTTTTTCTAAAAAAAATAACACTTTGGTAATTTTAACTCCAAGTAACAAGTAAATAAACAGGTATTTAATTTGGAGTGCACAACGGAATAAATATGTGTAAATTGTTATGCTCAAATAGTAAATTAGATCACATGCACTATGTTAAATGTGCTCAGATGATGTGTAAGAATAACAACAATGTCTTGAGTATTTAAAGGAGATGGTTCACTCAATATTTAACAAGATTATTTAAGATTGTGTATAAGACTTCGTGCTAAATCAATCGTGTGATAAATGTCCCGTGCAACACGTCAAAATTGCTTAGAGTAACTTAAATGTTAAGCATGGAAAGTTTGAGTTACATGCACACGTGAAAGCACACTAAACCTCAATGATTAAGATCAAGTAGTGAATAGTAAACGGGTTAGTCAAATACTAAATCAATAAATCAAAATATGTAAGTGCGGTATGTAAATGAGAAATGGAATTTATAGTGGTTCGGAAGTGGCGTAATCTTCCTAGTCCACTTTACTCCTTTCGCGTCTAGGAGTAATTCACTATTTTCCACACACAGTTACAATAGTAAATAAGTGCTACACAAGCACTTCTTCGGATGTCTTGCACACAGCTACACCCAACTCCGAGTGTCTCGCACACAGCTACACTCAACTCCGAGTACTTCGCACACAGCTATACTCAAACGCCAACTAAGTGTGTTGCACACACCTACACTTAGCAACTACGAGTGTTTTGCACACAGCTACACTCACTAGAGTATTTTGCACACAGCTATACTCTTTACAATTACCATAGACGGTAATTGTTTTTCTCTCCAACTTATTTTTGAGACTATTCAGACTAAGTCTCTCTTCTAGATATTTCAATGAATATTTAGACTTGAATTTTTGCTTGTATAGATCACTTTGCTCGTCTCTTTTCCGCACTTCTTCATCTTCAAGTCTTCATAGCCTTTTTATAGATTATCAAATATATCCGTTGGAGTGGGATATTTTGACATTTGAAATTTGAATCTTGTAGCCTGATATTGTTGACACTAGGTTCTTCAATTTTGATTTGATTGCCAACTTGTCTAACAAGATAATATTTTTATCTCAACTTGATTTTCAAGTTGTTTCTAAAATATTATTATCTTTGTCAATTTTGAATTTCTAACGTCTCTTGGCAATAAATCCTTCTGACATGATTTATTTCTAGGATAAGGTCTTTATCCATGCCTTCATAAATTTCCACCGTTCTGATCATGTCTTCAGGCAATTTGGATTCTTGTGACATGTGAGATGATCTTTAAACAATTCTGATGCGAACCTGGTTGGCCCGAACTTCTCTTCACACTCGAATTATAAAAAATATTGTAGGATGGTTTATTCAGTTGGGTGAATTCGAATTGAAGGTTTGATTTAAGTTGGGAAAATGACTAATTTTTGGATTTTGATAAGTCCTCGACCACATAGGGTTATACGGTGATACGTAGGATTTGAGATGACGCCACAAGTGAGGTTTTGCACTTGATAAGTTAGGTGTGCCACGACCAACTCACGGTCGAACTCATTCCGAGTTCCAGAAAACACTCAGTTTTCTAAATAAAAAATTCACAACTCTGTATTTGATTTGGCATGCAATGGCCTTAAATAGCCATTAACAAACATATTACAACCACATAAATCATAAATGAGATCATTATTAAAGATATAATAAACTAATTCTAACCAACAAACTAGGATAACCTTAAATAATAATATAATTCTAACAAACTAAATCTAAAATAATTTAAAGATAACCATCCTAATTAATTAATTAATAAATATAACTAATTCTAAAATATTTTCAACAATTCACGTGGCCACAACATTCCCTCTCTCTTTAGAGGGATTCGTCCTCGAATCCACGTTCCAGGCACCATTGAAGCTTCATGAGTCTTCGCGAAGAGACAACCGTTTGCTTTGATACCAAATGATGTGAACCTGGTTGGCCCGAACTTCTCTTCACACTCGAATTACAAAAAATATTGTAGGATGATTTATTCGATTGGGTGTTTGAATTGAAGGTTTGATTTAAGTTGGGAAAAAGGGCTAATTTTTGGATTTTGATAAGTCCTCGACCACACCGGGTTATACGGTGATACGTAGGACTTGAGATGACACCACAAGTGGGGTTTTGCACTTGATAAGTCAGGTGTGCCACGACCAACTCACGGCTGAACTCATTCTGAGTTCCAGAAAACACTCAGTTTTCTAAATAAAAAAATTCACAACTCTGTATTTTATTTGACATGCAATGGCCTTAAATAGCTATTAACAAACATATTACAACCACATAAATCATAAATGAGATAATTATTAAAAATATAATAAACTAATCCTAACCAACAAACTAGGATAAACTTAAATAATAATATAATTCTAACAAACTAAATCTAAAATAATTTAAAGATAATCATCCTAATTAATAATAAATAAATAAATATAACTAATTCTAAAATATTTTCAACAATTTACGTGGCCACAACAAATTCTGATCATAAACAGATCTTGCTTGTTTTGGACGGGAACATCTCGCTTGTTCTGATCACTCTCCTTTGTAGAATCTGATCATCTTGTGCTTGTTTTGCCTTCCTTGTTTGGCAAAAACAGATCTTGCTTGTTTGATACATCGTGCTTTTAGAGATTCAATCTTAGGTATAATTATTGTGTGCAAATTAAAGAATTTTACCATTTCACCATGAGGTTCATCCGATCATTCTCTGTAACATCTTTGTCTAATACTTGTCTTCTGGATAAATACTCGTGGGACCAAAATTAATTGTCAAAATTAATTTTGTTCTTCATGTAGTAGTCTTTTCTTTGTATACTGACTTGACATACTGAATTATGATGCTTTTACTAAAGACCTAAATTCTAAGGGGATCTAAAGTACATTTGCCTCATCAAAACGTTATTACAAAAATATTCCTATCAGAAATGAATATTAATAACTCACTGAAAATTTAAAATGAAAAAAAAAAATTGAAGTTAGGTTAATTGGAAAAGGAAATGAATACTAATAATTGGCTGAAAATAAAAAATATCAATAATTGACTAAAATGGAAAAGGAAATGGTCAGATCATTGCATTTTACTTTTTCACAATAATATTATACAGTATAATACATCAAACCACAATTATGTCATAAATCTTCCACAATTTTAAACAATGAAATGGAAATTAAAATTGGAATGAAAATATTTTAATAATAATATTATACATCATCAAGTAAAAGTAAATTAAAAATGAAAATGAAATATTTCAATAATAATATTCTACATCATCAATAGTAAAGACATATTTTAAACAATAGTAAAGGTAAATTAAAAATGCAACGAAAATTAAAAATGAAACGGAAATATTTCAATAATAATATTCTATATCATGCATCAATTAAAAATGGAACGAAAATTGGGTAAAAATATCACTGCATCTAATATTCTAATTGGCTAATTGACTAATTGACTAAAAATAAAAAAGAATAATGGGCTGAAAATGAATATGACATTACAAATTGACTAAAAATATAAAAAGAAATGAATACTAATAGTTGACTGCAAATAAAAAATGATCCATAATTGATTAATATGAAGAAAAAAAATGATTAGATCATTGCATTGTAATTAAAAATGAAACAGAAACTAAAATTTGACGGAAATATTTCAATAATAATTCTACATCATAAATAGTAAATGCATATTTTAAACAATATTAAAGATAAATTGAAAATGGAATGGAAATATTTCAATAATAATATTATACATCATCAATTAAAAATGGAACGAAAATTAGGTAAAAATATCACTGCATATGATATTCTAATGGACTAATTGACTAAAAATGTAAAAGAATAATTTGCTGAAAATGAATTTGATATTACTAATTGACTTAAAATATAAAAGGATCGCTAATTGACTAATACTCTACCATTATATATTTTCACCCGAGTCACCTATCCTGATGGACTAAAGGTGTTTGCTCTATACGATGATGGACATGATTACGTTGCTACTACCAATGTCGTCTACAAAGAGATTTCAATAATGTGTAAATACAATCGTTGATATTATGTTTTTTTAAATGACAAAATTGCTATATATCTTGACAAAATATATATATATATATATATATATATATATATATATATTCCACACAAATGAATTAAGATAGCAATTCATTCCTATAACTGAGTTGCTAGAGAACGAACACATTTGTCTAATTTATAAAAAAAATACTAAACAATGATAAATAAAATCTTCAAAGTTACAGCACCGCATGAGTACATCTACACATTAGCTATTAATTTGAGCAATTATTTGCTCAAATTTCAAGCAATGATAACATCAAAACACATAAATAATCCAAACTATATCTTCAATTGCACTACTATATAATATTTGATGTTCTAATTTAATAATTATATATCAATCCAAATATTTTTAATATATTATAACAAATTCATTCCGTGCATCGCACGGACAAAAATACTAGTAATAACTAAATAACACCTGCCCTCTCTTCAATACGGTGGATTTTGAAGTGGTTACTAGAGCTGAAAGTGGAGCTTTTGTTGCTTCCCGGTGTGGCCAACTGTACCCTTTATTGGCGGAGGCGCTTTCATGCAAAGAAGCCTTGTCGTTCTAGATGAAAAGTAAAAGCTTAGACGGATTGTATAACTGTATAAGCTTCTAGTAAGACATTTTTCAACACAAGAGTGACTTTTCTTATGTTGGTTTTAATTATTAGACACACTTTAGTTTTATGTCTTTCCTTGATAGTATTGCAATTAGGTATGTTAGTAGATCAATGAACCATGAGGCGCATGTCCTCGTAAAGTTACGAGCTATCAAACTTATCTGAGGGGATGAGATCTCAACTCTCCCTCTCGTATTCTTAGCTTGATCTCTCCCGCTTTAACTTAGAGATCAAATTATTTGTTTGTCTTCCAAAAAAAGAAAATAATAATAATAATAAATCTACCCTCCCTTCAAGACTTCAACAATTGTCCTAACACGTTTGCATACATGCTATAGTCAATTTCATTTTTGAGTTTGGAGATAATTTAGTGCTAAGCAATTGAACTGAATTCGGATAGGGAACAAACCTAGTGGAATTGGTTAGGTAATTAATTTGATAATTATAAAAATTTCACCATTGAATTTATCTGATAATAGAGTATGTTTACTTTATCAATTTATCCCGAGCATCGAAGAAGATCTGAACCTTGATATGCAGTTCAGATTAATGGAGATATTGTCTATGGACAAGAGAGTCGCAATAGAGTCAGACTTGGGTAGTAAAATCATTAACAATATTAAAGAAGCTTCAGGTTCTCCAAATGAATTCAACTTCAATCTTGAAAAATAGTCAGAGATTCAAGTTTTGTGTAGCATTGAAAATTTATTTCAATGTCTGATTGTAAGAATATTTTTTCATTCCATCGATCTTATTGTAAACTTTTCATCGTATGATTAATGAATTAGCTCTTTTATTTTTAAATTTTTTTTTTTAAAAAAAAAAGCGAAAGTTTTATTTTAATATGAAATGGGATCAATCAATTTAAAATAATTAATGAATAAAAAGAATTTTATTGTTACATCAAGTGTAAAAAAAAAAAAAAATGACTATATCATAATAAAACAACATGTAGTTAAAATAAGAGTTAATTCTATTTCTGGTCCTAGATTTATATGTGACAGTCCACTTGTAGTCCTTTTTTGCTTAAACATTCACTTTTGATCCTAGTATTATCGTGGCATGACCATTTTTGGTCCTCCATCAACAAAACAGTTTAAATTTCGTCAAATACAAGAGTATTTCAATCTTCAATTTTGATTTTTTTCAAAAAATAAACATAAAAAATATAGCAGGTCAACCTACTTTGTATAAAAAAAAAATCAAAATATCCTTGTATTTAACGAAATTTCAATGATTTTCTTGACAAATGACCAAAAATGTTGGTCATGCAACAATAATACTAGAATCAATTGAGGATGTTCTGATTAAAAAAAAAAAAAAAAAAAGATTAAAAGCGAACTCTCACCTATAAATCTAGAACCAAAAATAGAATTAACTCTTATAATAAATAAATAAATACATACATAAATAAAGGGAAAAGGGTCAAATAGGCCCTCGAACTTTATCTTAAAAGTCAATTAGGCCCCTAAACTTTTTAAAGGTGCAATTACACCCCTCAACAATTCATTTAAGTGCAATGAAGCTCAAAAACAAATTAATGACCAGCTATCACAGGTTATTAGGGTTCAGGCCACCTTCCGGCGAATTTTTGACCAAAAAAAAAAAAAAAAAAAAGTGACCGGTGAAATTTCCGACAAAAAAGTAACCGGCGAAATTTTTGGCAAATCTGCGTCGGTTGCTGGTCACTTTTTTTTTGCCGACAAATTCACCGGAATGTGGCCTGAACCCTATTGACCTGTGATAGCAGGTCATTAACTTGTTTTTGGGCTTCATTGCACCTAAATGAATTGTTGATGGGTATAATTGCACATTTAAAAAGTTTAAGGGCCTAATTGACTTTTAAGCTAAAGTTCGATGGCCTATTTCATCTCTTTCTTATAAATAAATAAAAAGTACTACGTAGTATTCCTCAAAGAGACGCAATCTAAATCTAAATCCTAACCTTAACACCGTTGACTTAAAAATGTCAGTAATTTAACCGCCAAATCCCAATCAAAACACGCCACATGTCCAACCCATCTTCCTTCTCTTTCCTTAACAGAGCAGCACCCGCATCCTTCCGGCCTTTTTTTTCTTGCAATTAAGATCTTTAATTTCTTCTTGTTGAGCTCAAAATTTCATAATTATAATTCATTATTTTAAAAAAATTAATCAAGAAAATACAAGAATCTAGCAATGGGTAACGTCCTAAGATTCTTGTGCGGCCGTTGTTGTAATCCCGCGGCGGACTCCGATTTCCCCGGCCACCACGGAGCGACGGCGACCGCCGCCGGCGTCTCTGCCATTGCTCAAGATATCCATAACTTTGAGATCAATTCCCAGGTACACAATTCTACCAACTTTGCTTCATATTAGGATACCAATTAATTTCATCAAGAATTCTGCAAATTTACTTCACATTTGCACTGAGATTTCCATAACTAGCTTCCAAGTGATTTTTTGAGATTCTAGTAATATATCCTTATTACCACTTACATGGCATTTGATTGAGAAGAGAGAATTAGGGATAATTTCATGTTTTTCTCCTTGTCAAGATGACACCGAATTAGAATTTCCATTGGAGAATACATAAATTGCAATTCCAGAGGAGTTGCAATTTCCTCCAACCGAACACTATTATGTTACATTGTATTAACTATGTTATAATGTAGTATCTGTCCATATATAGTTTCTCAAAATACTGAAGTACAAAGAGTTAATGTCCTCACTGGAGTTCGAACTTGTGAACCCCCATTTGAGAGTCAGAGTGATGAAATGGTCATATTAGTTGATTAGTGAAACTTAGTGAATGGGAAATATTGGGCGCATGAAGTGAGGTTCGATGCTTGTAACTAAAAAAATAAAAGAGATAATATTTAAAATAATACATCGATTATGTCATAATTCTTAAATTGGTGCTTGCTTATTATCCAAAAGAAAAGAGATAATACCGAAAATAACAGTCCACTGACGATGGAAGAATTTACTCAATTTAGTCGTTGGTGTAAGTAATAGAGGGTATGAATAAAATTTTGCTTAATTGAGGGACCATTTTAGGTAAATGGATAGTTGATGATCAATTTGGGAATTATGTAATAACAATCGTTATACCATGGGTCATGGCTAACTTTGTAAGGTGGAACATTAATATAAGGTACATTTTTAATACACTAAAAATGTTTGTTTTTTAAAAGTACATTATTTGATATATTATCAAATAACGAACACTCACTACACAAATAATATACCTTCAGTATATTAAAAATGAACATTTTTTCATGATTCACGGTATAAATACTAGACCCTTTTGGATATTATCTAAAAATAAAATTTTAACAATTAATGATCAATTATCATGTTATGGAGAAATGGTCATATCGATTGGTGTATATAGTAAAACTTAGTGAACAAGAAATGTCTAGTGTACTAAGTGAGATTTTTCACCTATAATGAAAAATAAATAAATTCTCTTAACAATTAATTAATGACCGATCGTTACGTTAGAGGATATAGAAATGGTCCGATCGGTCCTTATAGTATAATATAACTTTATTTGTATAGCCCACTTGACTAGATTAAGGTTACTCTTTTAACCCTTAATAGAGTTAATCATCTACTTTGTGATATTTTCAAGGTTCCTCAAGGATTGAGTCAGCATGTTGTTTCATCCAAAAAGGCTCAAGCTAATTGGTAAGAACTACGGAGTAATTTTTTTGTTTAAAATTAGTACTGTAGTTTACATATATAAAGACGATCCCAATAGAAGTTTTTGGTGTGATTTTTGAAGAATGAAGACTTATGTGAAAGAGAGAGAGGGAGACGAGAGAGAAGAGGTAATTAAGAACCTCCTACAAAGAGTGCTTTTTGGTCTTTGACATGAGCCCCACAAAGATTGAAAAACAGACGCCTAAACCTGACGTGAGGCGCAATACAACGCCTAGTCTGGTGCGTGCAATGCACCTAGTCGCTGGCGCGTTAACTGCATTGCTTTTTTTTTTTTGTCTTAAAAAACAAGGCATCAAATTTGCTTTTTCCTCTTTTTTCCCCCTCTTTTTTCTTCTTTCTCTTTCCTTCCTCTCTCTCCTAGTTGGTACTTCAAAAATCACAAAAAAAAAAAAAAAAAAAAAAAAAAAAAAAAAAATGCTGCTATTGAGGTTGCTCTAATGAGAGTATTGATTCAATTGGAATGAAGGTATAAAAAGCTTTCCGATGCATGGAGAGAAGAAAAACCTCCTCCAAAAACACCAGAAGAAGCTTCAAGACTTGTAATTCAGATCTTGAAAAGACATAAAAAAGCAGATGTTGAGGTAATAATGCAAGTTATATATATAGTTTGCATATAAAGATGCATCATGATTCCCATCTCATCTTTCAGGGATTGCTGGCTTTCTATGGCCTTCCTCTTCCTCACTCTTTGGTTGAGCATACAAACACCGCGCCTCCATCACACCCTCAAGGACTCAAGTTTGAACTACATACATTGCCGGTATGAAACCTTTTTTTTTTTTTTACATACTGCATTGGTATCTACATCCCGTGCACCCTCGAGACGAGATTAATCCAATTGGGGCCGATTCACGGGGTGTTGGGATCGCTCTCCAAGGGTGTATGTAATTGTTTATAATCTCCAAGAGCCTCATCCTTGTAAGGGAGATTTAGCAATGGATTATGGTGTTTAATCAAAGAGAGGTTTTGATGCATCAGGTGGATGCAAAGGCAGTGGCAGATGGAGATACAATCACTGTATATGTTAGCACTGCAGATCCCAGAGAGTCATCTTCTGTTCCAAAAGATGTACAGACAGCTGCTGTTCAGCGATCAAAGGCACGCGCCCGCAAAAATTATGCACGAGCAGACGAACTACACAAGCAGATCATTGACTCTGGATACAGGTCCGGGTTCGAGCATATAATATATAAAACATAAATGTACAATCTCACTATCAGCTTAACATAGTTAAGACAGAAAACAACATTTGCAATGCTTCATGGTACCCAATATTGTGTGTTGTAGGGTGATTCAGGTTAATAATGAGGAAGTTCTCGCAAGGAAATATAGGATCAGATTAAGGTATGACAAAAACAACAAACTTTTCTGCTATGTTTCATAAGATAAGATGCCAGAATGACGTGAGAATATGTAACAGGGGAATAGATGCACCAGAAAGCAAAATGCCTTATGGAAAAGAGGCCAAGGAGGAACTTGTCAAGATTGTGCAAGGCAAGTGCCTAAGAGTCCTGGTTTTTACAGTGGATCGCTACGGCCGTTCTGTAGGAGATATATACTGCAATGGCACCTTTGTACAGGTAACCCTTAGCTCGACTTGTTTACACCTCTAACCAGTAGTCGTTTTCCAAGAACTTAACTAAGAACTATCCAACTTTTTCGGTTATCTAGGAAGTCATGCTAAAAAAGGGGCTAGCATGGCATTACACCGCCTACGATCAACGCCCAGAATTAGACGAGGTAATTCTTCTGATCTATCTTCCACTACGATGCACAGAAACTCTAAAACGAGGCTCGAGCAATGCATTTCCTAAGGGTCACGTGTTCTATATCCTCGTTTTCCTGTTATTTTCACTAGGGTATGGAGTAATGTCATTTTCTGACTGTTTTTCTCGGTGGTGTAGTGGGAGAAAGAGGCTCGAGCAAATCAGATAGGTATATGGGCATCTAAGAACCCAGAGATGCCATGGCAATGGCGAAAAGACAGACGGGAAAACAACCATCACTAATGTACCTATGATCAACAAACACAGACAGACAGACAATACATAGATTTCCACGTCACTAAGCATTTGCTATTTCTGAATCATGTACACTGTAAACTTTGCATCTAGTTCAAAGCACCAAAACAATGTTTCAACAATAATGTATCAAATTCTCGTGTTTCCTAGTGATTGTGCAGCTTAAGAAAATTGTTACCGTGCGAGAATAAAATGACATCGGGATTTAAAGAATATGCAGGCACTGAATATTATCATCAATCTACTAAACAAAGTATAAAAATCAAAAGATTTCCAGTTGGGCAGGAATAACACATTAACACAAATCATCAAGAGTACGGAGAAACCAACAAATAGAGAAGGGAAAACACTTTGTCAAATTTCCACGGATACACTGATGATATGGATATGATGGATACAAGCAAGAGAAATATAAAGAAAAATCGAAAAAAAGAAAATAAAAATTTGAACTTGAGGTTCAACAGCAGAGCGATATGACACAAGTTTCCGAGCTTGTCGGTGATGCTGCATGAAAAACACTGCACTGCAAAATAAAGCAGCTTTAATTAGTATATCATATCATGAGTGCATCCTAATTTAAGGAGATAAAGCCTCTTTTATTCCCCAGACTATTTGTGCATTGCCACATTTGACACCAAGATTTGAAAACTCTCATCGGAATCCCTAGACTACCATAAAAAGGACACTTTTGGTCATCATTGGAATTCATCATCTTTAATCAAAATGTTGCACATATGAAAAATGGCAATGAACCAATAGTCTAGAGACTAAAATGGTACTTTTCTTAAACGATTCTATTATGGTAACGATCTTTACCCACTCAACCCAACAAGCTAGTTAATAACTGAATCCAATCACTCAAATTCTCTTCACAGACTAAAGTCACAAGAGTATTTAACATAAAAAGTAAGAGAACTTGCAAAATTATACTCATTATCATGTAAGGTTGTCTTATGAGACGAGAATGATGGTGTACTGGCCATGACCGATTTACCAGTACTGATCATTAGATATTCAACAGAAAGAGACTCTTTGATATGCTGAGTTACAATATAATACATGAATTGTATGAAGGTTCTCTCCTCATTATGGATTATACATTTTAGATGGTTTAGGGCAAAGAAGTTTAAAGCTAAGCACCAAATATCACAAGATCAAGAATCTATCGTGATCAAGTCATCAAACTGCTATCGATTGGGGTAAAGGATGGCTGCCCTTTACTTTCTAATGGAAAGACTGTGCTGCAAAGTGTGAATGTGGACTGCTATGAAGGTGAATTTGAGATTAGGTTTGTTTTGCTCAAAATGACATCGTTTTAAGCGAAACAAACCTTCAAAAAAAATCGGCCAACTAGACCAACTAGGCCAATTAGTCAGCTGACTGCCTATAATGGCAAATTTCCCTAATTCCCTTTGGACAAGGGGTGCATAGCGCCTAGGTGGCCACCTAGGCCAAGTTTTACAGCATTGCTCATTATGGATGATACATCTTAGATGCCTAGGGCAAAGAAGTTTTAGGCTAAGCACCAAATATATATTGAATTACTTAACAAAAAAGCAAAACTACATCTCTTTTCAAGATTGTATCGGCATCACAAAAAGACTCCTGATGGGTATGATATATCCCAACTAAATATAGAAGTCATGGGTAACACTGCTAAATGAATGAATCTATTTGGACAAACAAATAGAGAATACCTCAAGAACAGCCAGGTAAAATATTACGACATGAACAAATTGAGAATCCACAAGATAATCTAGAACGCAGAGTAGGGGGTAAAATCATTGTATGGGGAAAATCAGATACCTTAGGCATTGCCGAAAATCTGAACCAGACAATAACAAGGGCTTGCACACACACACACACACACACACACACACACACACAAAAAAGAGAGAGAAAGAAAAGAAGCAAATGGGATTATAACTCACACCATTGTTTTTTTTGAAGAGCAAGTGCATCTTCTCTTATTTAGCCTCACCAGCAGTATCATCAGAATCTGAATCACTAACATTGTAACCTAAGAAAGAACACAAATTACCATACATATTAGAGATCAGAAAGTAACCTAAAACAAGTCAAGTCAGCAAAAGGGATATTCCAAGCACCTGGACGTTTATCACTGACTTTCCATGCTGAAGACCGAGTCCTGGATGCCCGACTTATCCATGCTTTTCCCTGTACGCAAAATAATAAAGATTTGAACTCAAAATCGCTTTGCTAAAGAATGATATATATCCCAAGAACTGTCATTACATAAGCACCAATTCATTTACAACAGCAATCAAACCTGAAAATCACTATTTTACCTCCCTCTTTCCTTTCAACTCAATTCAAGGGTTACAACTTTATAAAATATTTCTGATATTAGCAATTACAATTCAAAAGACTCAACTTCTCTACTAAAAGAATATTCTTTTACCAAAATTTTCCCATCACCATCCAAAAAGCATAAGAAATAAGCAAAAAGCAAAACTTATATATGCAGAAATTTCAGATATAACCATATATATACATGAAAAAACAAGACAAGTATAAGATATTTCTGATGTTAGCAATTACAATTCAAAAGACTCAACTTCTATACTAAAAGAATATTCTTTTACCAAAATTTTCCCATCACCATCCAAAAATCATAAGAAATAAGCAAAAAGCAAAGATTATATATGCAGAAATTTCAGATATAACCATATATATATACATGAAAAAACAAGACAAGTATAAGATATTTCTGATGTTAGCAATTACAATTCAAAAACTCAACTTCTCTACTAAAAGAATATTCTTTTACCAAAATTTTCCCATCACCATCCAAAAAGCATAAGAAATGAGCAAAAAGCAAAGCTTATATATGCAGAAATTTCAGATACAACCATATATATACATGAAAAAACAAGACAAGTATAAGATATTTCTGATGTTAGCAATTACAATTCAAAAGACTCAACTTCTCTACTAAAAGAATATTCTTTTACCAAAATTTTCCCCTATCACCATCCAAAAAGCATAAGAAATAAGCAAAGAGCAAAGCCTATATATGCAGAAATTTCAGATATAACCATATATATACATGAAAAAAAAAAAAAAAAAAAAAAAAAAAAAAAAAAAAGACAAGTACAGTGGGCAAAAGAATCAAACACCTTCTGGGCATCTCTGGACACGCCATATCCGCTAAAGTACATCTGACCCACAAGCACCTGCATGGAGATGTCGCCGGCCTTGGCCTCCTTGAGGGTGTCCTGGAACCACCGTCTGACGCAGTCCGTCACCACTTCGGCCAGTGGTATCCTCCGCAGCCGCTGCTCCTCCGACGAGTTTCCGTTGGAACTCTCCTCCTCCATCTTGTTCCTCCTCAGTCGCCGCTCCGACGATGGCGATTCCAAGCCTCCAACAAGCCCCTTGAGCTTCGGTCCTTCGGCCGGCGAAACGGACCGGGTTCTGGATACGGGGGGTTTGACTTGGGTGGGGCGGCGGCGGGGAGTGTTTGAGCCGATAATTCTCGCAAAATCTTGAAGCTTAGTTGGAGAAGGAACTGATTTCCCCATAAAACAAAAACAAAACAAAAAAATTACTATAAATTTTTTTTCTTTTAAAAGTTTGAATTAGGGATTGCGGGTAAGAAAGAAATTGGTAATGGTTGGAGAAAGAATAGATTTTTTTTTTTTTTTTTTTTAAAAGATTAGATTTTTATTTATTTATTTTTTTAAATCCCAATTTCATAGTTGGGTGGCACTCAGCACAGTCTTCTATTATCCATAGACCATAACTCTACAAGCCTATATACATAAATAACATATTTGCCTCTTGGCAACTTGCAAAGTTGCAAATATTCAATTTTAGAGAAAATTTCAATTTTGTCCTATAGTTATAGGAGTTTTGTTAATTTCAGTACCTGACTTTCAGAAGTGTCAATTGAGTACCTTGACTATGTAATTTTTATCAATTTTGGTCACTCCGGTCAAATTGTCGGCTAAATTTTGTCAGAAAATTTTAACAGTTAAAATAATAAGGGTAGTTTAGTCATTTCTCTTCTCTTCCTTCTTCTTCGGCGAATTCTTTTTTTTTCCTGGCGGAGAACACCATCATCGCGATCTGGGTCGCCCCTGTAACAACCCAAAATTTCATTTTTATAAATCCGGTATTAAGAAATTCCAAAATAACTTTTTTATTCCATTAAAATTTTTTACGATCAATCGGTGTTCGAATAAAATAGTTTCGTCGCATTTTTAAATTAATTCGACACCAAAAAAGGGATTTCGATTCGAAAATTTCTAAGTTATTGGGTACTTCGCGTACCAAGATTTAAATTGAGAATTTTATCTGAGTGAGACCGGGAGTATTCAAAAAGGATTTTTAAACAAGTGTTCATCCAAATAACTTTCGGGAAAATTCACTTTCAACCCCAAAGTAATAAAAGATAGCATTTCTAGCCTATGGTTCATGTTGCATGGTGGACCACAGGACATCCAAAATCCCTTCTTGATTCATCTTTTAGCTTGTGGAATTACCCATTTGCCCTCAACCAATCATTGTGAATCATCATAGGGTTTTGAACCCTTATAAATAGAATGGTGTTGGCCTCATTTTATCCTGATCTCTTCCTTGGCTGCCAACACCATAGTAGTAAGCTTCTTCTCCATTCATTTCCTCCTTCTCTAAGTTTCTCTGCACATCATCTCTTCTTAAGGTTTAAGACTTAGGCCTTGTGTGGTTGTTTGAGATGTTTAGGTGGTGAAAGAAGTAGAGATCCTTGAGTGAAGTGGGGCTGAAATCCAAGCAAGAAGATTAGACTACAAGAGGTATAACCCCATGGATTCCTGTTTAAATTTTGGCTTTGTGAAGCCTTAGTTATGAATAGAAATGAGTAGAAACTATGAGTTTTTGATGTGTTCATGCTTGGAAGTGATTTAGTATTTGTTTGGGAGTTGTTGAGATTGTTTTGGACTTGTATGGATGAAGAGGGACGGCACTAGCCGCGGCCCATCAGGAGGGCCGCCGGCTAGAGCCGTGGTGGCACGGGACTAGGGCACGGCCCTAGAGGAGGGCCATTGCCTAGTCCCGGTGCTTTAACAGGGCTCATGGGGCGGACCATGAGGAGTCCCGCCCCAGGTCCCTGAGTTTATTCTGTGAAGGATTTTGTGCAGTGTGGGCCCTTGTGGCTCAACTACGTGTCGTTTCGGACCAAGTGTTATGGGCCCTTATGGCTCGACTCTTCGGGATTGTCTCGACGCACGTTTTGGCTTTGATTTCGTTGAATTTGGATTAAAAACGAGTATGTTATGAAGGAAATTGTGAAGAATTGTTACACAGTGCATAATTGCTAGTTTACTGTGTATGAAGAATTATTTTATTATTGTGATCTGATGATATCTTATTGAGTAAAGAAGCATGATCATTTGAGAATATGATTTATTATGAAAGCATGACTCAATTGTGATATTTGATCAATGAGAAACGAAGCATATTTTGTTAAGTGAATTATATAGAAATTGCTATGTTGCAAACCGAGCATGATGATATATTCTTGAATACTTCATGTTAGTTTACACATGATTTAGAAGCATATTATAGAGCATTTTGACATTTCATATGTGTCATATTTCAAAAATGCATAAGAGGCCAACGTGAGCCCAAGAATAATTTCAAAAATCATAAGCATGTGGTATATCATTCTTTGATGCATTGAGAAGTAGTAGAATGTTTCATGCATGAGCTTGATGCATGAGAGATATATTTATGTATTATCTATATCGGTGAGGTTTTGGAGGATACCGTTTGGACTATGTCCTTTCGGGAGATATTTATGGACATTGCGGTCCCAGTATATCTAACGCGGCGTATTCTCACGTTACGAGGTTGGAAACTTCTCGCCAGGCTTGGAATCCTGGTTAGGTGGTGTGCACACTAATAGTTCGATACCTGATTCCACAGAGTTTGAACCACGAGATTGGTTCCGTAGACAGTAGGAGATATTGGGTTGGAATTATGCCATTCCCGATGGGGTAATTCACACTTCTATGAAACCCTAAGCCGTCTACGAGTATAAGAGAAAGAAAGAGAGTCAACAGAGACTCAAGAAAGAGAGTCAACCGAGACTCAAGAAAGAGAGTCAACAAAGACTCGAGAGAAAGAAAGAGAGTCAAGAGAGACTCGAGAAAGTAACAAAGAGACCTTCACAGAAAATACTCTAATTTATAAAAGAGTGTATGAGTATATCATTGCACTAGATTGCATATGAGCATGAGTATATTGTTGCACTAGATTGCATATGAGTATGAGTATATTGTTGCACTAGATTGCACATGAGTATGAGTATATTGTTGCACTAGATTGCATATGAGCATGAGTATATTGTTGCACTAGATTGCACATGAGTATGAGTATATTATTGCACTAGATTGCATATGAGCATGAGTATATTGTTGCACTAGATTGCATAAGAGTATGATTATATTGTTGCACGAGATTGCATATGAGTATGAGTATATTGTTGCACTAGATTGCATAAGAGTATGATTATATAATTGCACGAGATTGCATATGAGTATGAATATATTATTGTATTAGATTGCATAAGAAGTATGATCATAATGTTATACGTGATTGCATGCGAATAGAGCATCGTAAGATATTGTATAACGAGAAGTTTGATTTAAGATATTCCTTTGAGCATGACTATTGTGTAGTATAAGAAGCTCTACTTATCAAGTTATGTGATAAGAATGTGAAAGTATGTAAACACATGTTATATGGTCTTTTAACATGATTCAATCCATAAGCATGAATTAATTGTTAAGTTATTTGAGAAGTTTATAAGCTGTTGAATCTATGTGAACAGTCTTGTACATACATGAGCATGAGAGCTTATACTATAGGGTGCAAGCATCTAGAAAGAATGTGATAAATCTTAAGGGGTCGTTTGGTTCACGGAATGTCAAATTACCTTAGGGAATGTTAGATTCCTGTGTTTGGTTAAAATTGAGGTATGTAATATAATTATGTTTGGTTTAGGGTTATCTTTTATTCACACACTATAATATCCTTAACATATTTTTATATATTTTAATAAATTTAAAAATTAAAACAAATAAATAAGATAACGGTATCATATATAATTACATGATTTTAAAATATTAACTAAAATATTGAACTTGAGAAACAAAATTATTTTATATGCTAACCTAACATAATAAAAATAAAAAATATATAATTACAAAAATAATTATATATATATATATATATATATATATATATATATATATATATATATATATATATATATATATAAGTGTGTGTGTGTGTGTGTGTGTGTGATAAACTAACATAACCAAGGTTATCTTACATAACCTTAGAAATTGAAGGGAATCATATTCCCTTCAAAATCCTATGTGGAGGGAATGTGACATTCCTGGGGAATGTTAGATTCCTTGAGATAATGTGAACCAAACATAGGAATGTGAGCTTTGGAATGTCACATTTCCTTGGTTATGTTATATAACCTGAACCAAACGCCCCCTTAAGATGATTTGAGATTAGCTTATTGCTATAAATAAATCAAATGTTTTTCAAAGTATATGCTAGAATGCTTTACAAGGTTGAGTGTGGTTATACTTAGCTTCGTGATAATGGGTGTTTTCCTATTTGTCTATGTGTTGCTTGCAAAACCCTTTTCAGGTGGGCCCGGCAGTGTGAAGAAGTCGAGTTAGATTAGTCTCGTAGATAGAGATATCTAAACTCTAGTACTTGATGTTATGTATGGATTTTAGACTTTTGACTTTATGTTTGTGGATTGATGTAGACTATTTGGGGTGACGTTTTTCCCCCTTACGTTTCTAGTATTTATATTTAGTTCCCAGACTTAATCTTATTTCTAGTTTTACCCCTTTTAGCCTGTGCAATCACCAAGGAGTGGTGGTTGTGGCGGTGACACTCCCACTATATATCTTTTAGTTTTTCCGCTGCTTAGTGATGTTTATGACTGATTAGAGTTATAATTAAGAGTTAGAAAAGTGGGGTGTTACAGCCCCGACCCGCGTCAACACCCTTAGGCTCAACGCCGACGATGTTCACGCCAAACAGCCTTAATTGCTTAGCAGCAGCCTTGCCTTGGACCACCGGCACCAACTCGTACACCATTGCTCAGGTGCGCTCTCTGCGACGCCGTTTTCACCGCTTCAAACCCTTCCAGAACCACTACAAACACAGAGATACATACCTGCGGGGACATGGTTGAGGGCGATGCCGGTGTTATTGAGGGCCTGCTGAACCGATGGCGAGATCTTGGTAGTATCCCCGTAGGCGGAGATGGAGATGGGCCAACAGTAGTTCAATTTGACCAACACCAAGCTAATATTCTGCGTGATCGGATCGCGTGCAACTGGAGTGACCAAAATTCGCCGGAAAAAAGAATTCGCCGGAGAAGAATAAAGAGATGTGAAATGACGAAAATACCCTTATTATTTTAACTATTAAAATTTTTCGGCGAAATTTGACCGGAGTGACCAAAATTGATAAAAATTGCATAGTCAAGGTACAAAATTGACACTTTTGAAAGTCATGTGCTGAAATTAACAAAGCCCCTATAGTCATATGACCAAAATTGAAATTTTCTCTTCAATTTTATAAGCGAAAAGTATCAAATTGGT